GTAAATAGTCATGAAAATAAAGAAAACACATTGAATGAGAAGGTGTGTCCAAACTTTTGGCCTGTACTGTATATATATACATATATATGTAGTAACCTAAACAAGATTATTTACACAATATATATACTAACCTAAATAGATAATACACAGAATATATACAGTCAAGGTGAAATGGGGTTATTGCACAAGTTAAATTAAATTATTGCACATGTTGACAGTGGGTGAAATAGTCTCAGGGCCATTCAGAGGAGTTGTACAGTTTGATGGCCACAGGCAGGAATGATTTCCTGTGGCGCTCAGTGGTACATTTACCACTGAGTATGAGTATCCCGCTGAAAGTACTCTTGTACCTGACCAGCACATGGTGGAGTGGGTGTGAGATATTGTCTAAGATAGTTCGTAGCTTAGACAGCATCCTCCTCTCTGACACCACCATCAGAGAGTCACCCTCGTTCCCACAAACGTCTGTGTGTTTAGGAATGAACTTCTGTTATGTTATTGGACTTGCTCTGCTGGAACTCATTTCCTAAGATAGATAGATAGATAGATAGATAGATAGATAGAGAGACAGATAGATAGATAAAATATATGAGAACAGAAATATGAAATATATACAAAAATAAGTAGTACCACAACTTAAAATATACAAGAGAAATATACAGGAAAAAAATAAAAATATCAAAATTGCAGGAGTAAAGAAAGAAGATCAATTATATACAACAGTATAATTAACTTGTGAGTATAGTAAGTAAAAAGTAGCAATACCACAATGTAAAATACTCAAATAGTAGGTAAAGGGTTGCACTCAAGATTCCAAACAGAAATAATTTCATAAAAGAAAATTATTTAAAAAATTATATGAAGTATCACCAAAATGCACTTGAAAGTATTTATGCAGCACAATGGTCCCTGTGAGAGTCAGCTTATTATATCTGCTTAATTTATAACAGTTTCATTTATCTTTTAAAACAATCCTGATATGCAAATACACTGTCACATAATTGAAGTGAAGTATAGTGAACAATATTTCTCAGAAAACAGGGACACTCCACAAGTTACTAATTGTAGAGCTGAGTAAATGTACTTAGCTGCTCTCCACTCCTGGTTTGTTTATAGGCTGGATCTGATCACGTGACAGGAGTGATTATGTAATGCGTACGTCAGCGCGAGAGGATTCGTTCGATATGACGTAGCGCTGGAGGCGTTGGCCGGCTAGTGTCACTGTGTGCTCTGAAGAACCTGAGACGGAGAAGAGGACGTCCTTTTCTACATAATCTATGAGTGAAACCGGGGTCAAATACTTTTAAACTTCGCCTACCTCTTGTTTTATTTGTCCTTCCACCAAGTGATTCGCCGGAACCTGTCGAAATGATCAAAAACGGTCACCACGCCACCGACGACCAGCGGGATGACGACGGTTGCAGAAAGCCGGGTGGTTCAGTGTGTAGCCCGGAGAAAAGGAAGCGGGTCGTCCGGTTGTGGTGTGACGGCTGGTGAGTTTTATGTGCCCCTCCTGTTACTGTCAGTGCTGGTTTATTAAACTGTTTCCCACAGTTAGTTGTCTTGAACG